ATGCTTCTTATGAGAATTATCTCTGGCAGTTATGACTGCAAAAATCAATCTTTTTGTCAGTTTTAAGACAGTTGTAGCCTAGCATTCACTACTGGGTAAATGGTCTATAACACTCTAAAATCCTGATCTTCATAACTGTTTAATCAGTTTTATTTTGACACAGTATTAGTGTCCTAAGTTTTGTTACTGTCCTGTTTTTGTAAGCCAATTGAGATTACAAGAGGATCCTGACAATAGGTATTTCACATATATGTATTTATGTTGTCCAAATAAAAACAATAAGTACTAAAGAAAAACCAACTTCAAGTTTGTTTTTTTCAAGATCAATTATTTATCTCATTAATTAATTAATTTCAAGTGTCAGAGGCACAGATGAAGGTCATGAGACCCTCTTTGAGAGAAGAAAGACGTTCTAAACCTGTCCTTTTTATATTCTTAATCCTCTTTAGTTTTTGCCAAGTTCCTTACACAAATTTGGTTTTAGGCTGAGGATCAGACTTGGCATAACCTGTTACAGAGAAGCCACGCTCTATGGGGATGGGGCTGCCTGGAGAAGAAGGAGGTGAGCCTGGGAGTCTGCAGGCCAAATTTCATCTTTACCATGTCTACAGCAGCAGCATTGGGGCGGGGGGGGGGGGGGGGGGGGCGGGGGGGGGGGGAGATTGCAGGGGTGGAGACCTTCCCCCTGTATGGGCATTGGATTCCCTAGGAAAGTGCTAATTTCCCGGAGAAAGTTCTGTGGAGTTGGTGCTTGCTGCTTACCTTCAACCTTGGTTCCTCTCCCTCTGCCCCCAGCCTCCTTTCTCTATCCACACAGCATAGGTAGAAGCTGCTCTTCACACACTCTATGTTGTCCCTCTTCCAGAGACTCAGAGGCCAGGGGAGAGGCCAGCCATGAAAAGATGGTGGACTTCAAGCATCGCCTCACCTGCAAGGCAGAACGGCCAGTCCAGGATGCTCAAGGATGGACCATTACCTGAGAAAGTCTGAGGCCGAATAGGCTTATAAGAGAGAGGAATTAAACATAAGATTAAAAGGGCCAGTCTCAGGCTGAGAATGTGCCTTAGTGGTAGTGTGCTTGCCTAGCATGCATGAAGCCCTGGGTTCAATTCCTCAGTACCACATAAACAGGAGAAGAAGAAAGAAAAAAAAAGCCAGAATTGGTGCTGTGGCTCATGTGATAGAGTGCTAGCCTTGAGTAAAAGAAGCTCAGGGACAGTTTCTAGGCCCTGAGTTTAAGCCCTAGGACTGGCAAAAAAAAAAAAAAAAGAGCCAGTCTCATGGCGGTAATAGTGTTTGTTCTTACGTTGGGTTTTATTTGTTATTCAGTATACACTATATGAAAAAAGTCTGCAGGGATGGGAGGAGGAAACTGTAAAGGAAGGGGTGACATTGACCAAAACAAGAAACAATTTTACTACATGACTTATGAAATGGTAGACCCTCTGTATAACACCTTAATAATAACTACACACACATATATCTATGTCTATAGCTATAGCTATCTATCATATATATATATAGTCAGTCATCATAGGGCTTGAACTCAGGGCCTTGCTTTTTCACTCAAAGCTAGCATTCTACCACTTTGAGCCACAGCTCTACTTTTGGTTTTCTGGTAGTTAATTAGTGACAAGAGTCTTGTGGACATTTTCCTGTCTGGGCTGGCTTTGAACTACAGTCCTCACATCTTAGCCTCTTGAATAGCTAGGATTACAGTGTGAAACACTGGCACCTGGATGATAATTTCTTTAAAAGGAAAGCCAGTCTCTAGTCACTGGTAACTCATGCTTGTAATCCTAACTACACAGAAAGCTGAGATCTGAGCATCACAAGTCAGAGCTAACCAGAGCAGGACAGTCTTCCAGACTCTCTATCCAATTAACCAGCAAAAAAGTGGGTCCAGAGAAATTATTTAAATGGTAGAGAATCAGATCAGCCTTGGGTAAGAAAATTGGAGAGAGAACTCTAGTTCCTGAGTTCAAAGCCCTGTATAAGCACACATACAAAATAAAGCAGGAGGACAGGCAGAATCAAATTATAACCAAGATACACTGAAAAACAGAAGCAGTAAACTCCTCTCCCATCATCTTCTGTGTTTTTGTTTTTGTTTATTGCTTTGCCAGTCCTGGGGCTTAAACTCAGGGCCTCGTACTGAGGAATTGAACCCAGGGCTTCATGCATGCTAGGCAAGCACTCTACCAATAAGCCACGTTCCCAGACCTATCATTTTCTTATGATGTTAAGTTACAAGATTGGAAGACATAAAGATGCTAGCTGAATCTGCCCTCCCCTTTCAGATCCTAAGAAACCATAAACATCACAAATAGGTAGCAATTCAGCCTAGGGGCGGGTTTGTTTTCACTGCTAATTAAAAAACAAAAAGCAGACATTTTTTTGAAAGGGAAAGGGAAAAAAAAAGAGTTGGGGGAGCAGACTCTCTGAAAGTGGAGAAGGGATTTTTCCAAGGAAAAATACCTGGCTTCTTTGTTGGTTCTATTTGGATCCTAGCCTTACTCTTGGGGAAATGTGTCTTTGGCTTGATTTGTGAAGTGGTGGTCATGTGCAGACAGAAGCTTTTCTGATAGGATCTCTTCCTCCTTCTACCCTAGAATCTACCTTGGCCATGTTAGATCCTCGAATCATGGTCACTAATGCTTGTGAAGGTTTTCTTGTTTGCTTTTGTTTTGCTCTGGACTATTTGGGTTTTTCCCAGCTTAGAAAGTAAGGAGAGTCCAGATAAAAAGCCCCATTTTGAGCTTTTACTCCCATTTCCTTCATGGGAAGTAGAAAAGACTTCTCTCTCTCTCTTGTCCAAATTTCTCCATACTTTATCCTGTTATAAAATAAATCTTTGCTGTGGACAGAAGGGAATCTTACTTCATTGTTGGTGGGAGTGTAAACTTGTTCAACCACTTTGGAAAGTAGTATGGAGGTTCCTCAAAAGACTCCACATAGAGCTCCCCTATGACCCAGCAATCCCACTTTTGGGCATTTACCCAAATGTTTACAAACAAGACCACACTAAAGCTACCAGCACAACTATGTTTATTGCAGCATTATTTACCATAGCTAAGATATGGAACCAACCCAGATGCCCCTCAGTAGATGAATGGATCAAGAAAATGTGGTATATATACACAATGGAATTCTATGCCTCCATCAGAAAGAATGACATTGCCCCATTTGTTAGGAAATGGAAAGACTTGGAAAAAATTATATTAAGTGAAGTAAGCCAAGCCCAAAGAAACATAGGTCCCATGGTTTCCCTTATATGCAATATCTAGTATATGTATGAGTCAAGCAGAAAAGGTCAGATAAGGTGATGTTAGGAAAATGAACCCTAAGATATGTATTTAAATGTTTTTTCTTTCATGCATTTGTTTCTAACGCATTTATAAGATTATTTCTTTGTTGCTTTGTATGTCCCTCCCCCACAGTATAACCCCTGCTTTCACTGTATTTGATGTCGGTATAATTTGTGGAGGGGAAGGGGAAAAACAAGTCGTTTAAATAAGGATACAGGTGGACTCATTGCAACAATGAGAAGTACAAGTCATTATGTCGAAAATGAACTTTACAACTTTGGTGGGGGGGGTGGGAGGATTGGGTGGTGGGGAGGCTGGGAAGGGATGTGAAGGGTAAACAAAGGAGGAGGCTACAATGCTTGATAGGAAATGTACTCATTATCTTGCCCATGTAATTGTAACCCCTCTGTACAGTATGTTCACAATAAAAATAAATAAATAAATCTTTGCTCAAGCTTATACTTTGTGAGATTCTCCTTGAAATGTTTTTCATTGCGAATTTGAAGTTCCTGTGATTTTTGCTTGGAAATTGGGCAACTGAGGTGAAGGAGTCTAACTATAGGGAAAGAATGCTAAAATCAACCTCTCCTAATCACACCCCAGGAGATACCCATGAGTTCTATCTCTTTCCCAGTGTCTCCCATAGGTATTCCTCTTTGGGGGTAATTAGTGGTTAGCAGTTAAGACTTTCCCTAGAGGGGAAAATAATTGGGGGCCAGTTTTAACCAAACTGAGGTACTTAACTGCCCAGTGGAACTTCTAGAATCCTTAGCTCGATCTTTGCTCAGTGAACTCCTACTTAAGGTTTCATACATATGCAATGCATCTCATGCATATACTTAAAACCATGGAATGACAACTGTGTGCATGCACAGTTCCCTTCCCAAAACTGGCTAAGTATGGTCCTTCACTTCCCTAAAATAAACCCACTATCATTATCACAAACTCCTCCCTAGCCCCCTAGAAAACTGAAATTCTTTTTTTTAATGTTTATTGTAAAGATGCTGTACTATACAGAGGTGTTAGAAAACCAGGTGTGGGCTCAAGGCATCTAGCTTGGGCCTGTCAATTCCCTTAGTATTGTACTTTCTCTCTATTGAATGCTTTGTTGGCCATTTGTCTGTTGCGTCTATTCAATTTTTTGTTGGAGATACCAAGAACCTGAGCTCTTCCCCTCCTTGACTTGGTAACATGGACACATCATTGTGGCCAATCATGCCCATGCACACTCCAAAATCACCAGAGAGGGGTTTAGGTTGGGTTTGGACAGACTCAGTCTCTACTATTCAGGCATATCTCAACTGGAGATCTTTTTCTCTTTTTTTTTTTTGTGGGTCATGGGGCTTGAACTCTGGGCCTGAGTGCTATCCCTCAGCTCTTCAGCTCGAGGCTAGCACTCTATCACTTGAGCCACAGCATCACTTCCAGTTTTCTGGTGGTTTATTGGATATAAGACTTTCATGGCTTTTCCTTCCTGGGCTGGCTTTGAAGCACGATCCTCAAATCTCAGCCTCCTGCATAGTTAGGATTACAAGCATCAGCCACTGGCGCCTGGCTTCAACCGGAGATCTTGAAATAAGGCTCCAAAGTTCTTTTGTGAAAATGTTTATTATATTATACAATACAAATATCCAGCTAATGCTTCAGTTTATGGTAGATTAAGCAACTCAATTATAACAGAAAAGTAAAGTGTATGTCCAGCCCTGGGTCTCCTGTTAGGACTTGCAGCTCCTGCACTGTGTGAAATGAAGGTTTGGTTTTGCAGTTCTGGGAGGGAGCTTCTGTGCACTTAGGATTCTCAGCCCTCATGGATGAGGCACTGCAGGAGGACAGAGGGCAGCAGGAGAAGGCTCAGCCTCCCATGTGCACTTGGTCCACTGGCAAATGAGGTGAGAAGGTCTTTTAGGTCTGAAAAACAAAAGAACACAGAAAATGGAAGGAATATACTATTGCAGGTTTGGTATCAAGGAATAAAATAGAAATGTTCACACTCATTCTCATAAAGGCTCTCTTCTGCCCTGATTCTGTCCCTTGGTCCAATTAAGGACTGGGAGGTGGGAGGATGGGGTCTGAGTATACTGACTTCCTGGGCAGAAATCCTACAGAGCTGCCCATGGAGCAGGAAGGAATCTTGGGGGAGCCAGCTCAGGGAAGCTGTGTCTGCCAGTCTTCCTTTACCTTCAGTGTTTTTTTTTCAGGGTGAAGAGTGTAATAGAACATTTGCTACCATACAAGAAGCCATGGGTTCAATCCCCATTGCTGCAAAAGTCAAAATGAGTCCTTTCTTTACAACCAGAGACCACTGGATTAGATGGAATATGAAGAACAGAATGACAGTACTGTTTTTAAAGGCCAGGTACTGGTGGCTCATGTGTGTAATCCTAGCTACTCAGAAGGCTGAGATCTCAGAATCACAGTTCAAAGCCAGTCATTGACTGAAAAGTCCATGATATTCTCTCTTTTTGTGTAGGTCCAGGTCTGGGACTCAAACTTGATATCTTATATTTTCACTCAGTGGCTAGCATGCTACCAACTGAGCCATACCTCAAACCCCAAAAAGTCCATGACATTCTAACTCCAAATAACTGCAAAAAAGCTGAAATTAGAAATGTGGCTCAAATGGCAGACCAACACTCTTGAGCAAAAAGGCCAAGTGAAAACTCATGGTCTAAGTTCAAGTCCTAGCATCAATAAAAACCCTAAGGGCTGGGAAGGTGGTCAGTGGTAGAGCGCTTGCCTTGCATGCCTGAGGCCCTGGGTTCGATTCCTCAGCACCACATAAACAAAAAGAAAAAAGCCGGAAGTGGCGCTGTGGCTCAAGTGGTAGAGGGCTAGCCTTGAGCTGAAGAGCTGAGGGACAGCACCCAGGCCTAGAGTTCAGGCCCCACAACTGGACCCAAAATAAATAAATAAATAAATAAAAACCCTAAAACTAAAACAAAACAAAAAGCAACACAAACACAAGGAAAGTTAACAAATAGCCTTTCAGCCTTTTATATTTAACTAGTGAACAGAATAAGGTAAGATTTTGCTTTCTGTATACAAAACTTAAGTCCTTGTGTCTGCTGTGAATTTGGTTAGTCTGAGTCAGCTAGAAGCCCTGAAGTTACTCTTTGAGCTTAGAAAGTTTCCACTATACATTTATTTCAAAAATTCAAAAATGTACTTTGAATATTTAAACTGATATTTACTGTGGGGTTTTTTTCTTCTTGTTGGTTGTGGGCTTGAACTCAGGCCTGAGCCTTTTTGTGCTCAAGGTTAGTGCTCTACCACTTGAGCCACAGAGCCACTTCTCATTTTTGAATTGGAGATGAGTCTCATGGGCCCTTCTCTGCCTGGGTTGGTTTTGAACCATGATCCTCAGATCTCAGTCTCCTGAGTAGCCTCCTGAGTAGTAGGATTACAGGCAGGAACTATTTACTGTGCCTTCTTATATCTATAAAATTAATGCTTTTATAGCCCATCTTTATTTTGTGTTGCACAGAAGAAACTCTGCCTGACTTGCTAGTGTACACTGGGATTATCATGTATATATGAGGGTCCTTTTGACATAGTAGAGATGTTTGTCACATCTATTAGCCTTCAACATATGTGAACAGGAAGATATAAACAAACAGTGTATGTTGCTTAGCACAGCTACCATGCTGAATGAAAAGCATTATATTTGAAGTGGTAATTTTTGGAGGTTACTGTAAATGAGGATAGTAGGTTAGCTAGAGGGTAAGATTGCTAAAGCCAATGCCCTTTCCTAGTCAGTACCCTACTGGTGAGTTCTGTCTAGTACCTCCCATAGCCACTCCTCCTTGGGGGTAATTAGTGGTCAGTCTGCTGTTAGACTTTTCCTAGGGAAAAGTCTTTGCTCTGCCACTTTACTTTTGTGAATGTGTCTTCATTCTATTCTTTCTTGAAGACACGGAGAATCTGAGATCCTTACCTCTGCAACTACCCACTATGAACAGGAGGGGCCCTTCTCATGATGTCCTCAGAGACTGGGTCCTGAGTCTAGCACTCAGGCATTTGTTTGCCTGTTGGTTGGTTGCTTTTGTTCTAGAAATGCTTTTTTCAAAACCTGAGTTTGTAGCTGTGAGGTAAAGCTTGACTTAACTCCAATTCCCATTCTTTTCTCTGTGTGGGTGCCAATCCTAGGACTTGAAGTCAGGACCTGGACACTGTCCTTGAGCAAAAAAACCTCAAGATTTTTTTACTCAAGGACAGAGCACAGCTCCACTTCCAGCTCTTTGATGGCTAATGGAAGATGGATACTGGAAGATAAAAATTTCATGGACTTTTCCTGCCCAGGGTGGCTTCTTCTAGGACCCTCAGATCTCAGCCTCTAGAATCGCTAGGATTACAGGTATTAGCCATGGGCACCAACCTGGAAGATTTTATTATTGGACTTAAAAACACAGTCAGAGCAAGGAGGGACCCTAGAGGCTCCTAGGCTCCTCAGTGTGGTGGAGGTGTAGAATGTCATCCACTTGCAAGTTCTCCCACTATAGATATCTTCTCAAATAATTATCATGATGTTGTAATTTTTATTCTATTCGATATAGTCTTGAAAACTATTTAACATCCCATTATAAGATTTAATTTTTAAGTTTAATTGTGTGTGTGTGTGAGTGTGTGTGTGTGTGTGTGTGTGTGCTGGACCTGGGCTTGAACTCAGGGCCTGAGTAATCTCCCTGAGCTTTGTCCTCAAGGCTAGTGCTCTACCACATTGAATCTCATAGGCTTTCCTGCCTGAACTGGCTGTCAACTGCAATCCTCATATATCAGCCTCCTGAGTAGCTGGGATTACAGATGTGAGCCAGCCACTGGCACTTGGCTTAACATATATATATCTCCTATGGAGTTGGGTTTAGAGTATGGCTGACTATTCAATATTGTAATATTCTAAATAACATCATCAAAAACATCTCATTCTGTTGGCACACAGTTGTAATCCTAGCTACTTATGAATCTGAGATCTGGAAGACTGAGGTTTGAAGCCAACTGGAACAGAAATTCCATGAAACCATCTCTAAAATAACCAGCAGAAAGCAAGACTAGAAGTGTGGCTCAAGTGATAAAGAACCAGGTGAGTGAGTAAGATAGAGACCCTGAGTCCAAACTCTATTATCACAAACAAGCAACAAACTTAATTAGTAATTATTCTTCCATGAAGGGCCTAGCAGTCTATTTACCATGTGTAGGAATTAACCTTTCTGAACCAAGTTTCATCAAATATAAAAATTCATAAAGTATAATGCTTCAAAGGTTGTGGTGAATATTAGATATGACATGTATAAGAAATGCCTAAAACGTACGATCACACACAGTATGGCCATCATTGTCACACTGTCATTGCAATAGCATGATCAACAGGTCAGTGGTGTTACTCTCCATTACATACTCTACCAATTACTTGGTTTCTGCTTTTTTCTTTTTCTTTTTTCCTCTCTGAAGGAACATTGTTTCATCCAGCTTTGATAAGTAGAAGTAACATTTTTGGAAGCTGTTGCCAGTGGCAGACAGACAACCATCTTGACTGGATGTTTCTGAGGATGTAGACAGTGATCTTGGGCCTCTGTTCCTGCCTGACCTCACAGAGGGACTAATAGGACTCTAGCCAGCTCCTACCCCTCATTTCCATTAGGGAAAGTGGGCAATCTCAGATGAGACTACATCTGATTTGCTCCACCTAGAAATCCCCAAAATTTACTTCTTCCAACATCTTGGACTTAGGAGCATCAAGTGGTGAAGCAGAAGCATATGTCCAGCAGATGGAGAAGCCCTAACAGAGAAGAGCTTTAGGGAGCTGCGGTTGGCATGGGGGTGGGGATGGGGCAGGTTAAGTACAGGGAGGGATAAGTGAAATACCGAGGGAAGGGAGGGTGCTGGTGTGAGCTAAGGATTGGCCGTTCATTAGTAGAATCTTTCCAATGCTGATCCCACCGGGAACAGAAGAGAAAGGGTAGAAGGTAGGTTAGGAGCTAAGCATTCATTGAGTGTGCCCATCAAGAGCAAGAGGTCCGCAGCAAGTGGGGTTGAATGAGTGTGCAACCATGAACTGTGCCCCGCCTCTGGAGAGGAGTGCACACCGGAGAGGCAGAAGGGGTGGGGCTCGGGGCCTCAGGATTCAGAATGCTCCCTGGACACCTTGCACAGCTAGCCATGCGGAAATGAGGCGGAGACTCGAGCCCCCCGGAGCTGACCTCCCCGACTGCCCACGACCGCCCCGGCTGGGCAGATCTGCTGAAGAGCAGAGGCCAGCGGGCACCCTTTATCAGACGGCAGTGGATTCTTTCCTGCGCCCGTGCCCAGCTGGGGTCCCCGCGGGGGGGGAGCCAGTGTCGACTCCGCAGAGACCTAAGCCTCGGTGGCTCTCAGGTTCACCTCTCTTTACAGCTTGTCAGCTCCAAAAGCCCCACTCACTGCATAAAGACACTGAAGTCACCGTGGATGCAGCGACCCAGAGCCATGAGAATATGGATAGGAGAAAACATAAACTTCGAAAACATTAATTAATTCACTACGTGATTCACAAAGAATATGGCTTCCTTAGAGATGACGCTATCTACGTTGCTCTTCTGACTGTTGCTGGCCCAGGAAGAGACTCCGGACCCGTGTGCCCGGTGAACCGCGGCCAAGGCGAGGCGCTTACCACAGCGGCCCTGCGTCTGGCGAGGGAGGCAGTGTAGGGCGGCGAAGATGCACCGGCAGAGGCGGCAGCCTCGGAAGGTCCAGGCCCCGTGCACGAGGGCCCCGCAGTCGCTGAGCAGGCGGGGATCAGGGTCAGTGCAGGGGTCCGTGCGCGCCCCGCGCCCACCGCGGCCCCGATCCCAGCCCCGATCCGGACCCGGACCCGGCCCGCGCCCACCGCGGACCCGATCCCGACCCGGCCCGCGCTCACCCAGCCCCGATCCCGACCGGGACCGCGCCCACCCCGGCCCCAATCCCAGCCCCGATCCCGGCCCGGCCCGCGCCCACTCCGGTCCCCATCCCCATCCCGACCCGGCCTGCGCTCACCCCGCCCCGATCCCGGCCCGGCCCGTGCCCACCCCGGTCCCCATCCCCATCCAGACCTGGCCCGCGCCCACCCCGGCCCCGATCCCGATCCCCATCCCGACCCGGCCCACGCGTCCCCGGTGCCCACCTTCGCCTCTGGTCGTGCTCACAGTAGCGACCCGTGAAGTGGGCAGGGCACACGCAGAAGCTGCCCAGCACGCAGGTGCCGCCGTTCCGGCAGCAGCGCAGTCTTGGGAGCACACCTGTGGGCGAGGGGGCCCCGTGTGACCCACCCGGGGAGAAGCGGTGCCGGCGGCCTGCCGGCTGTGTTTGCTCGGGAAAACCCTGCTGGTTGTTTGAGGGGCTAACCACAAACCACCAGGAACGCCAGGCGCGTCCCGGTCCTGTCCCCGGTGAGCGCCCAGACCCGAAGCCAGCGGGGTCCTCGCTCCTCCCTTTCATGTGCTAAACACGGGCGCTGGTTTGTTCCGTGATTAAAGACAGGCCTCCCAGGCCAAGACCACCCAGGGGCGTGATGCTGCCAAGCCTCCGCCACCCCGCACCCCGCGCCCCCACCCCACCGCCCTGAGGACTTCGGGGACACCAAGCCAGGAGCCAAGGGTCTGAGATAAGCCCGCTGTTACCTTAGTTGGGGACATTTGTTTTTAAATGTTTAATGATGGCCTGTAGGGAAAGTCATTGAAGAGCAAATGTGTCGCTTTTTCGATGGAACTTTTGAGAATGAAACCCTCACTAGGGAATGTTTACTATCCAGTGATTCACGACTTGACCACTGTGAGGAATTCCCTTTTGGTTCTCATTTGAGCCCTAATTCATCCCGCTTTGCGTTTGTGGATCCCGCATTCGGGACCTTGACCACCATCACTACAAAGGCTTGTCTGGCAGCCTGGGACTTACGCCCGTCTGAGGCTCTGGAGTAGAGAGCAGACTCCCGAAGCCTCCATTCCTCCTCCGACCCGTTGTCCTTCCTGAAATCACTCAGGGTCAAATTGAGTGTTGTTGGCTGAAGCTTTGGAGCTGCAATCTTGCCGGCTTCTTTACCGCTTTGGCGTGTCTCACTTTGATAGCCTTTTAACAAAGGGAAAATATGAACCTGATACCGAGACACAGGTATGCTATACAACTAAAGCCGAGACTTTAAATATAAAATGCTTACTGTTTCCCAAATGGATGAGCTGCAGTGCCAAACTGATGATGAACAGAAACCTAGAATATTTACAGAAAATTATCGACATTCCAGATGTAAAACGTAGAAGCAGAAATTCACACACATGAAAATGGCAACTCTTCTTAACAACACCGAAACAATAAAATTATACTTTTAAATGGCATGTGATCTTTATACACAAACATAACATATTTAAAATAAAAAATTCATTTTGTAGATTTTTAAATTAATTTACTTTATTATCATGACAAAGGTGGTGCACAGGATTACAATTACATGAGTCAGGTAATGAGTACATCGCCCTTTGCATGGTGTCTTTTGTTCCTTCAATATCTCCAGTCTCTCTGTATTGATCAATAGATTATAAAGAATTTTTAGACGGGCAGTGCATACTTCCCTTTAATGAACTGGAACAGTAGTGCATACACTGTATTTTATCCTGAGAATTTTAACCCCACCTTTCTCCCCATCTTGACTCTAAGATATTGATGACTTCTGGGCTTACCTGACATAGGTCCTCCAGATCATTTTCCCACTGACACTTCTGGTTGGTAAGAGAGGTTCCTTCTCCCATCCATACACTGAAGATCAATTTCCACAGAAGCTGAGTCTGAGCAGTCTTTATTTTGGAGGTTTCTTTGCTCCAAACCTGGCAGTAACTGCATCAAGACACAGGACAGACACATTTGGAAGACACAGACATTCTCTTCCCTTTGCCTGGACCAGAAAACACAGCACTAAGACCTTTGAGTACTGCTGATGAAGCCCATCAGCAAGGTCCTGCTGTGAGACAGAGGAGACTGAAGGACTATCCCTCAATGAGCCCAACCTTGCTCAGGAAGGGAGGGGGTTGGGACATGGGGTGGGTGACTCCCTTCCGAGCAGTATTTACAGTGCTGACAGCATCAGGGGTGGCCAGTCATTGAAGTAAGACATTAGTGACCAAGACAAGCCTTTCCCTCACTGAAAAACAACCACAAAATTAAAGGATTGAAACCCAAATGTGAACAAAAATGGGTTGATAGTTGTTGCTTACGCTTTGTAGAGGAGATGGTGAAAGGCCAGCTAGAATGGGAAGCTGCTATGTGGGCCATTCCAGTAGCCTAGGCTCAGGCATGAGGATGAGTGTGGGATACGAAGTTATAAGGGGTGACTTCAATCCCTGCTTTCAGATGAAGTCTTTGTGCCCATTTACTACTGGACCCTCCACCTTCTTACCCTGTGTAAAATGTGAGGAAACTGAGGCGAGTGGTTAAGACCTTGCCCAGGAAGATGTTTGAAAATCACGAGAAGTACATACAACCCAAGTGCTGAAGAGGCTGTGCTGAGCATGCACAGGCAGAACTGCTCCCGCTAGCAGCCTGAATCCAGTAACAGAGAGACAGAGGACCTCTTGAGGCAGTTTTCAGTTATTCCTGATCACCAGTATGGCCTGGGCTCTCCATCAGCACTAACTAGGGCAACTTGCAACTCACCCTGGCAAATAGTTCTGTGATTTTAATATAAAAACTGATTTCTAAAAGTGGTATATATCCTTCAAAGTTCAATGTCCCTGATACAGATGTAATCATTGCTTTTAAATGTCACTACTTGATCTCAGGGCCTAGGTGTTGTCAATGAGCATTTTTGCTCAAGGCTGGTACTCTCCCACTTCAGCTACAGCTCCACTTCCAGATTTCTGGTGATTATTTGAAAATAAAAGTTTCCTAGACTTTCTTACCTGGGCTAACCCTAAACTGTGACCCTCAGAGCTCACCTTCCTGAGTAGCTAGGATTACAGACAAGCCACAGGCAACTGCCTTCAGACACGGTTTGTTACGCTTTTAATTGAGGGAATTAGTGAGGCTGCTGTTCAACTAGAAGGGAGGTGGTGACCTTGCCTGGCATGGGGCCTCCTGGTGAAGGGCTCTGGTAGCTTCCAGGACCAGGGTAAGACCAACAGACACACTGGCCAAACTTGAAGAGGTGTCACCACCTCAGGGAGGCCTCTGAAGACATCTGTAAGCAAGCCATGAAAATGCACCTTTAGGGTTGGGAAGGTGGCTCAGTGATAGAGCGCTTGCCTTGCAAGAATGAGGCCTTGGGTTCGATTCCTCAGCACCACATCAGCAAAAATAAAAAAGCTAGAAGTGGTGCTGTAGCTTAAGTGGTAGAGTGCTAGCCTTGAGCTGAAGAGTTGAGGGACAGTGCCCAAGCCCAGAGTTCAGGCCCCATGACTGGACCCCCCAAAAAAAATTAAAAAAAAAAAAAAAGAAAATGCACTTATAAACTCGGTGGCTATTATAGGTCAATTACATAATTCAGTTACATATAAAAATTAAGTATGTTTAATGGCTTTAAATCAGTAGAAGCTTCTATATGAATTAAGTGGGTTATATATTAAAATAAGACCACATGTAAATTAAAAGACTACTTATTTGTATGAATTAGGTTTATTTTGCTTTTTTTTTTTTTTCTTGTCAGTCATGGGACCTGAACTCTGGGCCTGGGCGCTGTCCCTCAGCTCTTCAGTTCAAGGCTAGCACTCTACCACTTGAGCCACAGTACCACTTGCGGCTTTTTCTGCTTATGTGGTGCTGATGAATCGAACCCAGGGCCTCAGGCATGCAACCACTGAGCCACCTTCCCAGCCCTTGTTTTGTTGGGGTTTGTGCCTGTTCTAGGGCTTGAACTCAGTCAGGGCCTGAATGCTGGCCCTGAGCTTTTGTACAGAAGATTACTGAAGGCTCAGCTCCACTTCAGGCATTTTGGGTGCTTAATTGGAAATGAGAGTCTCATGGACTTTCCTGTGTGAGCTGGCTTCAAACTGTGATCTTCAGATCTCACCCTCCTGAGCAGTTAGGACTATAGGCCTGAGCCACCAGCTCCTAGCCTGTAAAAATAAGTTTTAAAAACCACTCACTTTATAGACTGCTATGGGAATCAAAGCTTTCTGATAATATTAGGTCTCAAAAGGACTATTTAAGATCTAACATCCTTTCTCATTAAAGTCTTCATAGTAGCTGAGTGCTGCTATAGATTCACACCTATAGTCCTACCTACTCAAAAGGCTGAGATCTGAGGGTCCCAGTTTGAAGCCAGCTCAGGTAGAAAAGCCTGTGAGACTAATCACCAATTAACTACTAAACAGCTGCAAGTTGACCTGTGGCTCAAATGGTAGAGTACTAGCCTTGAGTGGATAAAAATCTCAAGGATTATACCCAATCCCTGAGTTCAAGCCTCGGGACTAGTCACAGACACACACACACACACACACACACACACACACACACACACACACACAGAGTCTTCACAGAAGACATTTCCAAGCATGCAAAAGCTGGCAAACACAAGTTCACCAATTAACTACCATATCAGTCTTTCCAATCTTATCCTTTATTTTCTTGGTGTTGGAAAAAGCAAGTCCCAGAACATGTGATAATTCATCTATCAAATACAGGTGTGCTTTGTTGTTGATGTTTGCTTTGTTTTCTGGTGCAAGCCACTAATCTAAGGTATTGTGCTTTCTAGGCAAGCTACACTCCCAGCCTCAAGTGAGGTTTTGAAAATCTATACTTTACTAGTGGAAGTTGTAGAAAAAAGGAAAGGCAATGTCTTGCCTGTAAGAGGGAAGAAATAGCCCACCCATGGCTGTTTGCTTAAGTCAGCTGAGGAGAGGCAGGGGGCTTTGGTGATAAAGCCACTGGCAAACTTTTTCACCATACTGTGACTTGCTCTCCCGCTGGCTTTGTGATACTGGGTGTCAACTTTACCGTGTTCCAAGGTCTTGGAAAAGAGCTTTGCATTTCAGTGCAGGGTTACTGCCCTATTTGGCACCAAAGAGGCATGGCCAGCCAGAGGCCAGAGGTTGCCTGGTAACTGCTGGAGTAGGGGGTAGGGAAAGATGGCAGTCTTCCTTTTGTTATCAGTGGTAAACAGATAAGCCTGGAGCCACTCGTCCAGCCCAGAGGAATGCTCTAACTCGCAAAACATGTAGGACTTGGATGCACAGGGACACCCTGTCGTTTTCAGCACATCCAACAAACACCGTAGAACAAAGGAGGTGTGAAGGACGCTGAGAATGACTGTAAAGCAAGGTTCTCTATACAGGCTTCTCCTACATGCTTTATTTAGCATGCTTACTTTCTGTCTCTAAGAAATTTTCCAGTTACAGCATCAAACAACAACAACTAGAATTTTCCTTTTCTAAGTTTTTTATCTGAATGAGATTATTATATTTATGTGTGAATGAGAGAAAGATCAAAATCCAAAATTCAAAGTATAGTTTATGTTG